CGGAGTGTGGTGGAGCCGCCTCCTTTGGAGGTCTTTAAACAGAGGTTGGATGGGTGGTTGGTGTTAGTGACAGGAGTGAATTGTGACACTATAGCTAACATTGGTTGGCACAGCGCACAGGGAGGAGTAGGTGACCCTCCTTGTGTAACCCCATCACCTAGTAACCCCTATGATGAGACACCCCAAGTGAGACACAGGCAGGATCAGAGCATTAACAGAGAGGGAAGGAGGGAGAGATAAAGGGATATCACATTTGCATGATTAGCCAAGGGCATAAGAAAGATGACAAGACACATAGCAGATACCCTTAGAAAGGCAAATAGCATCCAAAGCAGCATAACACATTATATAGGGATGTGGAATGTGAAGAAGCTAGACATAGTAAAAATGGAAATGCAATGCATGAACATAGCAGTACTGTGGGTGAGTGAGTTAAAATGGATAGGAACAGACTTTGAATCAGACAACTACACAGTGCTCTACTCAGGGAATGAAAAGACAAGAAGAAATGAAATCACTTTCATACTAAGAAAAGATGTGGCAAAAGCAGTCAGAAAGAAATCTTCACTATGTATATGTAAATACATTTAGGTTGTGCATATGTTACTGTAATTTGAAGGTATAATTTTAATTTTGCTAATTTTTTATGTCACAACTATTAGCATTACATTCAGTGGTATATGGGAATTATGATTTATAAGTAACATTAGTGCAAAAAAGCATTACTAAGGATTCTGTATGGTGTGAAATGGGAGGAGGTCAATGGGGGGGAGGGTGACACCATGAGTTACTGCACTGGGTGACACCAACCCTAGTGAAGCCACTGGCCACAGCCAAGGTGCTGCTACTAAGAAATATGGTGTAAAGGCATAAACATGCTCGCCATACATGGACTCAAGGTCATGCGGACAGTACGCCTCAGCATTTTTAATGGTGGGACTTGAGGTCCTGCATTTTCCCCTTACATGGGTATGTGTGTGTACAGAACAGATCCCCAGCATATATGAAGGGCGCACTGTACTGCTAAAGGAGGACATACACATCAAATAAATAATTTTTATCTGTGACAAATATATGGCATGTTTACGCAGAATGCCATTCATTTCAAAATGAAAAAGAAAAGACAAAGTAGTCTTGTGGTACTTTTAAGACTAACCAATTTATTTCAGCATACACTAAATTTATTTTAAGATGTAGCAAATACTATGCATATTTTATGACTGCTAAATATATGTATACATTGTCATATTTCAGCATCTACTAAACTGGATACAGCTTAGCTAGTAGGATCATACATATAGGTGATTTTGAAATCTTGTAGCTGAATCAAATTTTAAAAATTTATCTAACTTTTTAAAAGTCAATGGGGTGGGGGGAAAAAAGAGAAGAAAACACAAGCTGGAGGCTTTTAAAGAGAATATGAATTCTTATTTAATATTTAAAACCAACTGCACAGTGATTAAAGGCCAGGTATGTGTCGTGGGGGATTTTCTTAAACTTCCTGTGACATTTATTTTTTGGTAAAATATCAATATTTAATGTCATGCTGAATAGCTTCACTCTAGTTGCTAAGCAATGCAATGTATTTGAATGGGACTGAGGAATACATTCATATAAGCTTTTGTGTAAACACTGCCACACCTTTCTTGTCAGGAATGCAACTCAAGTCTCTAACATCAATTCCTGTGATGCAACATATTTACTCCAAGATGGTTTGCTGAAAAAGCTACTAAAGATGTTTCTCTGGTGCCTATGAATGCAGATAGGGCAATTCACAAAGTCTTGCAGAAAAATACCAACAGACAAAGTTTCATTTCTGTATCGAATAACCTACAACTCACACACTTCTGGTGGAAAAGATTAATAAAACTCAGAAGGGAGAAAGAAAATCCAAATATTGAGATTTTCAGAATTCTTCTATGGGGAAATATACAAAGTATTTTAAAATTTGACAAGGATGTGGAAGTACTCTGCGAATGCTCCTTTATATTAACTAATCCTCCAGGTCAACCAAACATACATATTCTTATTTCTTTTTTCTTTTCTTTTTTTCTTTTCTAGTCTTCTGTTTGCTTTCTTTTTAGAATATCCAATAATAGAGTGTGCAAGGGCTACCAAGTATATGAGGAGAAATAGAAGGTAGTGTGGGTTTCAGAGTTATACTTCTCATACTGATCAGAGGTGTTCTCAACAAAGATTGGAATGAAAATGCTAATACAAGTTTCAGTCATTAAGTTTTTATACTCGTAATTAAAAACATTGTGGCAGGTGGGAGCCAAGGAAGCAAGCAGCAAACCTGTGAGCAGCAAAAAAACAAGAGGGAGGGAGATGCCCAAAGAGGATCTCTGTAATACACTGTCTTATGTGTTGCCATTGAAAGAGAGAGTAAGGAGGAGGATGTGTACAAGTGGATTTGAGTGAGAAAGAAAGCAAAGAGACAGACATATGCAGTACTTGGAGGACATGCTTCCTAGTCACACTGAGAATGGAGGGTGTTTTGGAGTTCCTCCTGGACAGAAGGTTGAAATGTAGGATGGGTCCGAGGAAAGGAGAGGGTGAAGGAAATGGTGGATTTCCCCCAAAACTAGTGTGGGATGGGATACACCACTGTACCAACCCATTGCCCAGTAATCCCTCCCCTTCAGTTTGATACGATTCAGGTCCTTCGTTCCCACTTGCTGAACATGTTTGCTAATCGCTTCTTTTCAGAAGAACTGACAAAAAACTAGTGTCAGGAAAGAGCAGTTCTTTTGCATTTGCCACACTTCATCGTGATTGAAACAGAGTGCAGTTGGTTCGGAACCAGTTTCAAGTGGGAGTAACAGACATACAACACAATCAGCAATTCATTTTAAATCATAGTGGGAACTAGGCCCTGGTGTGGCATAGCGGTCCAAGTGTTGGACTACGACTCTGGAGACCAGGGTTCAATTCCCAGCTTGGCCATAAAATCCACTAGATGTCCTTGAGCAAGTCACATACACTCAGCCTCAGAGGAAGACAATGGCAAACCTTTTCTGAACAAAACTTACCAAGAAAACCGCATGATAGAAATTATTTGAAGCCACACAACAACAAAACCTTATGATTTCCTCAAGGTTTGAATCCTGGCAGGACTCTAACAGGACACAGTGAAGGATCAGGCAAAGGAGATTATTGGACACACCTTATCCCGTCGGATACATGTGCATTTAGCTTCAAAGACGGGTCTTATCGCATTCTCCCATATGCAGCCCATATGCAATCTGGGCTTATCCCACAGCTTTTCAAGGATGGGATTTTCCACTAATATAACAAAGAAGAATGTGTTTGGTATTTTGAATGTGCTGTGAATGTAAAGTAACTGATCCAATGGCTAAAAAGACATAAAACAAGAATGGTGCAAAAAACAAAAGCTGTCAATATGCAACACTCCAAACTAGAAGCTTACATATATGATTGATAGATACAAGCGACTTGCTCAATATGAATCAAAGAAAGCCAAAAAAAAAAAAACAGCACTAGTTGCCAAATCATCCATTTTGTTGGATGTGAAGCCATGGGATGATGAGACAGGCATGGCCAAACTGGAAGAATGTGTTAGAAGCTGATGGCTTAGTTTGGGGATCCTCCAAACTGGTTCTAGTTGGTTATGGAATCAAGAAGCTTCAAATTTAGTGCGTGGCTGAAGATGATAAAGTTGGAACTGATATGTTGGAAGAGAAGATCACTGCTTTTGAAGATTATGTACAATCAATGGACATAGCTGCTTTCAGCAAAATTTATATCTTCATAGCATTAGGAATAAAATTACTCCCCCCCAAAAAAAGTTGTTCCACCTTGACTGAGGAGCTTACCTTTGTGTAAACAGCCGTACATATTAGGTGGTGTCAAGAGTTGCCCTCATCAACATTCTCTCACCCAGCCACCTAGTGAAATGGAATGACTGGCTAAAAGACATACAGTGGTACCTCTACTTACGAAATTAATCCGTTCCGACAGCCA